CCCCTCACCCCGGGGAACTGCAATCCCCCGCGATCCCCCCCGAAATGACCTCAGAGAATGGCAAAAAGCAGGCCTGGGGAGTCCACCAATACAGAGCCAGGCTGCTGGGGAAGAGGGCCAATGTCAGGCTTTAAGCCTGACCATATGTCTCCCTCCCACATTGAAGAAGAAGAGGAGGAGGAGGAGATTGGATTTATACCCCACCCTTCAGTACCCAAAGGAGTCTCAGAGCGGCTTACAAACTCCTTTCCCTTCTCCTCCCCACAACAGACACCCTGTGAGGTAGGTGGGGCTGAGAGAGCTCTGACAGAAACTGCTCTTTTTCAAGAACAGCTGTGCCAGAACTATGGCTTGCCCAAGGTCATCCAGCAGGTGCAAGTGGAGGAGTGGGGAATCAAACCCAGTTCTCCTAAATGAGAGTCCACGTACTTAACCACTACACCAAACTGGGAAAACGAACCCCAAAGGGGAGCATTTCTGATCAAGGAAAAGGCACCAGGAAATCTTAGAACCCCCCCCCCTTTTCCCTAATAGAAACAGGCCTCTGTCCACCTTTGTCCCCCTCCCTTGGCATGATTGCTTTTTGTGGCTTAATTAACACACTGGGTGGGATCAAGTTGCCCTATCAACGTTTCCCCATGTTGTCTCCACCGCTTCAAGGATCGCCCTTGCCTGAACATATGAGAACTTTTTAAAAAGCCCTACTGCATCAGACCAGTGGTCCATCTGGTCCAGCAGCCTGCTTCATGCCGTGGACAGCCAGTTGCCCTGGAAGGCCAACAAAGAACAATGGAGGCCAGGGCCTTCCTCTGATGCTGCCTTCTGGAACAGAGGTTTACTGCCTTGGTATATGGAGGTTCTGTTCTACGCTGGCAGTGCACCTGAAACAGGGGACTCTACACCTCTTGCTGTTCCCTCTTGTGCATAGTAAAAACAGCGTCCTTTTACACAACAAAGTTTACAGCATGCACCACCAGTCATTGCTGGCCCCCGCTCACCACATTGTACCCCTTTTGCTGCTTAGGAGCAGGGGTGGCCTTGTCCAGCAGCCGGAGACTGACAAATTTTCCAAAGCAAGCTGGAACCAGCCCTGCATCTGTACGCCATCCAGAGGTCATTTCGGAGGGAGACGCCATCCGATAGTGTGTTATTGTTGAGTCACAACAGTAATTCGCAACCAGATTTTCCTGGTGTGGACAGGCCAATCCGCTTGAGAATGACTACTAAAGCACAATCAAAGAAGAAGAAGAGGAAGAGGAAGAGGAGGAGGAAGAAGGAAGAAGAAGAAGAAGAAGAAGAGAGGGAGGAGGAGGAGGACACTGCATTTATACCCTGCCCTTCACTACCTGAAGGAGTCTCAGAGAGGTTTACAATCTCCTTTCCCTTCCCCTCCCCACAACAGACACCCTGTGAGGTAGGTGGGGCTGAGAGAACGCTTTGAGAACTGCTCTTGAGAGAACACCTCTGAAAGAACTTGTCACTGATCCAAGGTCACACCAGCAGCTGCATGTGGAGGAGTGGGGAATCAAACCTGGTTCTCCCAGATTAGAGTCCACACTCCTAACCACTACACCACCAAACAGGGTGGATCCCATGATGTTTCTCTAGTATGCCTATCTCTGACCCTCATTCCCATATTTTGCTTCCAAACCCTGGCTTGAACCTCACTAGTAGTATCCAAGTCAGTAGCCATCGACACCAACAACTCCCCCTAAGGAACTTTATGTCCCGTTATTTTTGTTTTTGAACCACAACCCAGCAAAAAGCATTCTGGCATACCCCTGGCCAGGGGTCATTTTGTAGAAAAAGAGGTGCAGGAGCTCATTAGCCTAACTCATTAGCATTACTTATTTGCATATGCCACACCCTCAGACATCACCAGAAGTGTGTCAGAAGGCAACACCCACCACTCAGGCTCCACTGGACTGTTATGGATTGCTAGCTATGGGGGGGGGGACGTGGAGATCTGTCCTCGTAGAGAAGGGAGAGCTGGTACCTGAATAAAACTTGGTCTTAAAGGTGTCACTGGACTGTTTTGGACTGGGGGTGGGGGAGGCTCTGCAGCTTACCTGGCTGCTGCTTGCTCTAACTGAGGGCTGCTGGGAGCAGGGGGTGGGGCTTGTTGCATGTGCCCGCCCCCTGGGCTCTTTACTGCCGGAGCTCCGCTCCTGTGCGCTCATGCAGGAAATGACCCCTGCCCCTGGCTAAAGCAGTCACCCTGTGTTCATGCCTGCCCACAAATGACATAGAGAGAGTGGGCGACTCACATGTTTCCATTGCTCATCCCAGGCCCAATGCTCCCTCCATTCACCACAACCGAGCGACGTGGAGTCAGAAGCAGCAGCGGCTCCAAGCAGTGTGCAAACTCAGCCCTGTATTCGGTGTTGATCTGGAAGAAAACTGGTGAGGATGACTGGCCATCCCAAAAGCAGGCTAACTAATAAAGTTTTTCTCCTACAAATGGATAGGACTGTTGGGCACAGGGCTTCCTGTGAAAATGGAAGTCCCTGCGTCAAGTTCTGCCCCCTTCTCTGTACTGCATAATAAACCTGAGCATTATTTGTTTCTCTCCCCTACCAGCAACAACTAACCCTGAAGACTGAAGGTGCATTATGTTGAGACATCTGGGCATAAATTACTTATTACACATCACCCCCCCCGTATGATTATTTTCCCTGTAATCATGAAAAGATTTGATCATCAAAACAGAAATCACTGTTACAGCAAGAATGCAAATTTGCTACAACAGAAACAAGTGTTTTTGATTTCTCTGCAGCCATCAGAATACTATAAGTTGTGAAGCCACTCCCCCCCCCCCTAAAAATGCTCAGAGAGAATAAAGTGGACAGGAAGACAGAAGTCTCCAGAATGCAAGAAGGAAGGGAGGGAGTGTTTGCAGGAGAACTGTGAAGTGCAAATATTCCCACTTTACTCCTGACGTTTCTAACTTGGACCTGCTCATTATGCAAATAAGGCAATACCTCCCCTTACCTTGCTAGTTTGGGACGGCCTCATCCGATGGGGAAGCTTGACAATTTTCTGCAACCTCTCCATCAATTGCTGAAATCAGAGATGTGGATTAGATGGCATCATGGAATTCACTTTCCATTGTAACAAGAGCCATCATGAGTGTATCCGAACAACAACAAAAAAAGGGGCTCAAATGATTTCTGGAAAGATACCCTCCAACAAACTTTGCAGAGGATCCAGCTTGGCGCTCAATGTATTTGCACGAGTGTGTTGCACTCAACCCTGGAATAGGACAGCCCTCTACACAAGAGAAGGGCCTTTTTAGTGGTTCCTGAAAATATAAAGCTGATGCCTTCTGGACCTTTCTGAAACATCTCCTGTTCCAGCGAGGTGGAGGTAACTGGAAATGATTCTGTGCTTTGTGGAGGGGGGAATGCTTTGAGGAAGAAGGAAATAGGTCCCAGGAAGAAGAAGAGATTGGATTTATACCCTGCCCTTCACTACCCGAAGGAGTCTCAGAGTGGCTTCCAATCTCCTTTCCCTTCCCCTCCCCACAACAGACACCCTGTGAGGTAGGTGGAACTCCTTCGAGAACTGCTGATGAGAGAACAGCTCTGAAAGAACTTGTGACTGACCCAAGGTCACACCAGCGGCTGCATGTGGAAGAGTGGGGAAATTATCCCAGATTAGAGTCTGCGCACTTAAACACTACACCAAACTGGCGCAGCAGTAGCTGCTGGGGGCCAGGCTGATGGGTTGCACTTACATAGCCTAAATCCAGGAATTCGGCTTTGTTTGCAGAACTCAGAAAAGCAGAGCAGGTCACCAGATGGACCTAGACAGAAAGGCCAAAAGTCACAACTTCCCCCCCAATACAAACATACAGCGTTCCCTTTGATAATTGTAGAAGAAGAAGAGTAGGTTTTTATGCCCCACTTTCCTCTACCCTAAGTGGCTTACAATCGCTTTCCCTTCCTCTCCCCACAACATGCCCCTTGTGAGGTAGGTGGGGCTGAGAGAGTTCTGAGAGAACTGTGACTGGCCCAGGGTCACACCCAACTGGCTTCATGTGGAGGAAGAAGAAGAGTTGGTTCTTATACCCCACTTTTCTCTGCCCTAAGGAGTCTCAAAGCGGCTTACAATCGTCTTCCCTTCCTCTCCCCACAACAGGCACCTTGTGAGGCAGGTGGGGCTCAGAGAGTCCTGAGAGAACTGTGACCAATGTTGCCTGTAAGCTATGGAGCTCTGTAAGCAAAAATTCTACTCTGTGAGCTACTGGCATTAACGTTGTGAGCAGGAGATTTGGCTGCTGCATAAATTAGTTTGCTTGGAGCCATCCTTCCTGAGCTAAGACAAAAAATGTGTGAGCCAGAGACTAAAAACCTGTGAGCTAGCTCACACCAACTCAGCTTAGAGGGAACACTGACTGTGACTGGCCCATGGTCACCCAGCAGACTTCATGTGGAGGAGTGGGGAATCGAACCTGGTTCTCCAGATTAGAGGCAGCCGCTCTCAACCACTACTCCACCCTTGGCAATCAGTGTAGCCCTCCCTGAGATGACATTGAAGAGGAAAACCAGATCTGTTGAATTTCTGCCTCTCACACAACTCCCTGTGTACAGAGTCCCTCCTGCCTTACCTGGAGAGTGGGCAACAGTGATGCCAGGTGGGCGAGCTGCTCCTTGAAAGCCTTCTCTTTTTCTTCATACTGACTGGAAATACCCAAAAGATCACCTTAAAACTGAGATGTAACTATACCACTATTCAGGGCTATTTTTGGGCAGGAACGCACAGGAACGGAGTTCCGGCTGCCTCCCGAGTTGGCCACGCCCAGCAGGAACTCATTAGCATAATAGGCCACACCCAACAGCAGGAACTCATTAGGATTGGCTACATTAGGGATGTGTGGCCTAACATGCAAAGGAGTTCCTGCTACCAAAAAAAAGCCCTGGATTTTGACAACAAACAAGGTAAACAGAATAAGAAGCAAAAGGTTACTTCTGGTAACATGGGGGTGTGGCCTAATATGCTAATGAGTTCCTGCTGGGCTTTGTCTACAAAAAAAGTCCTGCCACTATTCATTTGAGAGCTGTGATAAACCTGACTCTTACAGGGACTATCATGGTTAAGATGTGGTCGGCTTTGCCTTATTGGCACCCGTTTTTAAAAAGCCCATTTTGGGAACTGACAAACCCCACAAAGCACTCAATTCTGTCTGCATGAGGGATAACCCCAAACTTTCTTTTTCCGACACTCGGTCTTCTTGATGCTCCATAAACATCTAATGTTCTACACTGTTGATAGGTGAGGCATACGCTTTCCCCAAGTTAAAAACTGGAGGCGTGCTTCATTCTCACATCTAGAAAAGGTTGGTTTAAAAAAGAAAAGAAAAGAAAAGTATGTCAGGACAGCTCACATTCTGTGTTCTGTAGGAGTCACTGGGCAAAATGTTTCCCCTGCTTGGGGAGGAGGCAGGGACACAGGGATGACTCATGCAGAGATGCAACAGCCAGCCTCCTGAAGGCGGGTTGTTCTGCCGCATCTATGCTGACTCACTGGCGAGGACCATGCTTGTCCCTCTCCTACTCATCAACGCACAGCGTTCTGCTTTACTGTCAAAATATGTGCACGCTGCAAAGACTGAAAGCTATCAGGGCCAAAACCAGAGGAGACAGGAGATCAGTGATGAAGAAGGCTGGGTATAAGTGAAGTAAATGAATAAGCGAACTGGGGAGATTTAAATGGCCCATAAGAGTTGTCCTCATTCCCTTAAAGTGATTCGTCTATTATGGTCCTCCCCCACTTCTTGCTTCTCTGTGTCTTTAAATGTGTAACTGTTCTGAGCTATTTCCATAGGCATGCTCAGTTCCTAGGACCTTGCTGCTTCTTTTCAGTGGATCCGATCTTGCAAGAGTGAACAGCTGGCTATTAGAGCTTCCCACCGTCCAGGGACTTGGAGGTAAACAAAACCCAAAAGATTTGTCTCTGTGTGTGCCCCCCCCGTAATGCCTTTAATTTCAATTTAATTTTGGAAATGGTTTATTGCAGTTTTTAAAATAGGGGACATTATTTGATATTGTTATTGCAGGTTTTTATAAAATATTCATATGCATTTTGCTCTTGAGTATGAAACAAAGAATTCTTTCAGCTTGAATACTGTGGTGCAATATTACAGGTAGGCTGCAATACCCAGGCAGTAATTCAGGAAATCTGTCCTTATGGGTAACCACTTTAATCTCTGAGGAGGCCCTTCTGAAAAAGACTTCTGGCTTGCTTTCTATTTATGTGTGTTGCTTTGCAATTTTTGACGATGTAGAGTTTATTCGTTGGTGGATATGCTGCTTTTTCCAAATTGTTGACATTTGATGTTGCATTTGTCCTCCCAACTGAGATTTGATGCAGTACACTCATTGATGACTGGTGCTGATATGCTCTCATGTGGGTGTTTTACTGTTGGATGGATTGAGCTAGTGGTCTTTGATCCATAGGATAAGGACTCTTGGGTGGGTCATGAAGTTCCACCTGCTGTGTCATGAGCCCCTCTAGAGCTGCCATGTTTCCCCAGCTTCTTGGAAAGACTTGCTGCTAATGTGCATGCATCAAACTGCTCTTTGCACATGTAGAGAGAAGAACATGATGACTAATCAATGTCTGATGACTAATCAATGTCGGCTTAGAAGAGGGGGGTGGGGTGCAATGGGAAATTCTACCACTTATCTGCATTGAGTTTGGTTAGTTCACTACTGTTCCTAATGGATGACACAACAGAATATGCTGCCCTTAGAGAAGCCTTCCTGGTTGTATCTCTGCATGAGTCACCGCTCAAAGGTTCTCTCTGTCCGCTCCTGTCTATCTATACAAAGTGGGATCTTGAGGGAGCATATGTATTACCCTTTCACATGATTTTTGGGTAATTATGAAGCGTGCCCTTAATTCAGGAGAAAAAGTCTCTCCCTGCTGTCCAAAATTTTGGGAGATTGTGCTAGAAGTTATAATTAATGCTGACACTAGAGGGCGCTCACATGATTTTTGGGTAATTATGAAGCGTACCCTTAATTCAGGACAAAAAGTCTCTCCCTGCGTCCAAAATGTTGGGAGATTGTGCTAGAAGTTATGATAATTAATGCCAACACTAGAGGGCGATGTTGCTTCCCAGTTGCATGGGAGCTTCTAAAGTGTGACTTCTCAGGAATAGGCAGCAAACTGAACAGATCACTTGTGATTTCTGAACAGATCACTCATATTGTGAATGGAGTTTATACCTCACCAGTTGGATAATGGCTGCAAGACTGGGTTGCTGGAGTCTGTGCTATTATTTATTTCGTTGGCATACAATACTATGGGCAAAACAAGGCAGTACCCAGCCCCAAGCAGCTAACGATCTAAATCTGGGAAGGAAAGGCAGTCAAGGGGCATCAATCAACAGAAGGCCTCTGTTACTCCTTTGCCCCCAAACCTACCCTTTCCATGAATTCTTAGTCACCACTCTCTGGTGTTAAGTCTTCCTTCAACAGGTAAAGGCTTCCTCCCATGGAAAATGACTTTTTCTGGAGAGAATACCCCTTCTTTTTTTAAAGGAAGCCTTTCTCTGTTGGAGAAAGGGACTCAGGAGATCCAACACCCTGGTTCTCTCCACAACACAGAATCAAAAGAAGAAGAAGAGAAGAGATTGGATTTATACCCCGCCCTTCACTTGGAGTCTCAGAGCGGCTTACAAACTCCTTTCCCTTCCCCTCCCCACAACAGACACCATGTGAGGTGGGTGGGGCTGAGAGAACTCAGACACAGACTGCTCTTTTTCAAGGACAGCTGTGCCAGAGCTTGTGACTGATCCAAGGTCACATCAGCAGGTGCAAGTGGAGGAGTGGGGAATCAAACCCGGTTCTCCTAGATTAGAGTCCGCACACTTAACCACTACACCAAAGCTGAAGTAAATGGAACAGACATGCATTTTCCCCTCTTCTTTATCCCCAAATCCCTTCCCCCAAGTCAGATTTTACACTGCAACTTCCTTGGGGCAGGAACCTGCCCCCTTGTACTCGGTAATGGAGAGATGGATCTACATAGATAAATAATGGAGGTGCCGTCTTGAAGAGTTGTATTTTTAAAAATTTTATTAATTCCCTTGCTTTCTCCCCAACGGGGACCCAAAGTGGCTGACACGATTCTCCTCTCCTCCATTTTATCCTCACAACAACCCTGTGAGGCAGGTTAGGCTGAGAGTGCGTGACTGGCCCAAGGTCACCCAGTGAGCTTCCAGTGAACTTTCATGGCGCAAGCGGAGATTCGAACCTGGATCTCCCAGATCCTAGTCTGACACACTTAACTACTACACCACACTGGACTTCTGTCTCTCTGGTGACACCCAGGAAATAGCTGGGCAATTTTCTTTATTTGCAGTAGAAATAAGTTTGTATAAGCCCACGGGAAACCAGGCAGAATTCCTGCTAAGGAACGCCTTCTTACCTTTGGACCACTTTTAAAAGCATCTTCTTCCTTTCCGCCAACCTGTCCTGCAAAGAAGTGGGGGGAAAGGTAATAAACACCTTGACAAGATGACTGCTCACAGGGAGGCTCTCTGTTTACTCTTTCATGGTCTTGGACGGAGCATCCCTTGATGATCTACCAGAAATGAGAAACCCTAGAAAACGCTAGCCCTACTTTCTTTATTCTACTCCCAGGAAGCCCCAAGAAAAGAGAGCCAGTGCTGTCTTGCTGCCCTCACTCTGTGAGGATTAATTTCACAACCTTGAGGGCTAGAAACTTGAATTTAAGTTCAAAGCAGATTGCTGATTTCTTTATGCTGGTGCAAAATGCAGCTGTGAAATACAGAGAAGTAGTCTGCCACCTGGAGGCGAACTTTGAGTGTAACTTCAAGGTGAACTTTATGACGAACGTGAAAACCAAGAGGACTGGGCAGGCTCTCCAACAGTAGGGAGCAGTCCCCAAAGTTAAACAAAAAGCATTAATGAAAGAAAGAGGCAACCAAAAAAGAGAGGGTGGAGGAAGGGGGAAATACTCTAGGAGTGCGGGTGAATTTGAGTCTAGCGTGTTCACATGCTTACGCTTGCAAGGTATGATGCTTTACCTGAAAACCAGCTAAACTCAACAAAGTTTAGTTCCCAGCTCTTTCTAAAGCCCCGACATGGAGATTGGTCTTTGGGCCAGTTCGATCCATATCTCCATTACGAACCTATTTTGAATGCCAGAACTCAGACTTGGAGTTTTCTGTACAATAAAAAAAGCCAGTCCTCAATATTCTGTCTCTCTGTTGTGAAGGAAGGCTTAACCAGGGCAGATGACCAGGCCTCTCATTCCCTCCATACAATGCAAACTGCAAGCTTGTACAGCCTCAGTTTGACTTGGGGCAGTGCAGAGAAAGGGAGATTGGGTCAGTGTTCCTGCTAAGCTGAGTTAGTGTGAGCTAGCTCACAGCTTTTTAGCCTCCGGCTCACGCATTTTTGTCTTAGTTCAGGAAGGAGGGCTCCAGAGCATTTATGCAGTGGCCAAATCCCTCGCTCACAACTTTTAATATCAGGAGCTCCCAAGGTAGAATTTTTGCTCACAAGACTCCATAGTTTAGAGGGAGCATTGGACTGGGTTTAACCCTACAGCTTCCACTGTAGGCCCTGCCCTGCTATTACCATTTTAAAAGAGGGAATGGCATGTCCTTTCTTTTAAAAACCACATATTTTGTTCTTGCGCTAATAGCAGTGGGTTTCCCCCCCCCCCAAATATGGAAACCACGGTTAAAAGGTTAACCCCCTGTCCCTTCCCTGCATGACGCAGAGGCAAAGCGAGGCTGCAGGGACCTACAATTTGCTCCATTGAGATCTTTCTTCTTTGAAACAGAGCCCAAGGTTGGGGGGCAGGCTATGCAAATACAGCTGGCTTGATTTGCAATGGGTAAGCATCACCAGAGGAACTGCGGTGGCTCAAGTGGTTAAGATGCTGAACTGCAGGCTGTGGAAGGTCGGTAGTTCAGCAGCTTGAGACCCGGGTGCTGCATGACAGAGTGAGCGCCCGTCTCTAGTTCCAGCTCCTGCCAACCTAGGAGGGCTCCACTTTGCTATCTTCCCATTTAAACAATGGTTGCCATTCACATCTATGGGAGGGGGAAGTAAACCATTACAATTGGGGATGTTGAGGGGAAGGCAAAAACTGTCTTCCCTGTTGAGGCTGCACGGCCCCTCCTTCCCTGAAGGGGTCCCACAGGGGATGGCTTCTGGGCACAGACCGACACACGAGCACACAGATGCCCCTGGCTCTTGGCAAGATGAAAACCCTCCTCCTACTCACCCACCATAATGGGTTTTGTGCAAGGAGATAATAAAGGGATTTCTCTGAGCACCTGTTGCGTGCCTTCCTTTCACAGCTAAACCATCCTAACCCGCCCCACCCCAATCTGGTGTTTAGGGGGAGGCATTTCACCCATGTGACCGAGTCTCCAACATCTATCTTACTAGGAGATAGTGGCAACTTGGACTTCTGACCACTCCTCACCTGCATGTTACTGAAGAGTGAGTTGATGGCTGTCTCCTCTTCATCTGCACTGTTGCGCACCTCCTCGATCATAGCTTTGAGGAGCACGATGGCCTCTCGCGTGGAAGTCTGCAGCTCTTTCACAGCCTGGGCAGTGCATTAACACAGACAGAAGGGTTTTTTTGTGTTAAAAGAAGAAGAAGAAAAGAAGATATTGAATTTATACACCGCCCTTCACTTGGAGTCTCAGAGCGGCAAACTCCTTTCCCTTCCCCTCCCCACAACAGACACCCTGTGAGGTGGGCGGGGCTGAGAGAACTCTGACACAAACTGCTCTTTTTCAAGGACAGCTGTGCCAGAGCTTGTGACTGACCCAAGGTCACATCAGCAGGTGCAAGTGGAGGAGTGGGGAATCAAACCCGGTTCTCCCAGATTAGAATCCGCACACTTAACCACTACACCAAACTTGCAAGGACAGGGAAATGAGACGGCAGCATGAGGGCTTCACAACGCTCACTCCCATTAGCAGATCGGCCTGGTCTACAGATTCCTCCTGGATTTCTACATCCTCCTCCCTGTTTATATCATTGCTGGGGCTTCTCTAAAAGCACATTGTGGCAGGAGCAAAATGGGCTTTGCACGAGCTGAGCTTACTGGTCAAGCCACAGTTCTTTGCCAGAGCATCAGCTACGCATTCCCTTGGGAATGAGACCTGCTAATACAGACGTATGCAGCTATGAAGCATGATTCTGCCTGGGGAGTTAGAGCACAGAGAACACAATAACTACAACAAATACTTAAGAGCCTATAACAAGGGATTGGTTCTTAATGAGAGGTCACGCGCCCCTCCCTAAACAAGTGATCTAAAAATGGGGGGGGCATTCAGAGCTTTTGGAGACAGATGTGGGGACATTTAGGATTTTAGGTCGTCTCTTCCCCCACTTGCAATGGCTTCTGACACCCACTAGAGCAGAGCTATGCTTAGTGCTCATCCTGCACAAATCTTTTCTACATCAGATTTGGACGTGCTGCTGTTTCTGTACGGCCCCAGGGAGCCACTGTTAGGGGGAAGGGGCATGGCTCAGTGGTAGAGCCTCTGCCTGGTAATGCAGGAGGTCCCAGGTTCAACCCCCCGGCATCTCCAGTTGAAAGGAGCAGGCAGCAGGATCAGGGCTATTTTTGGTTTATATTTAGGATTTTTGGCTCCAATGTGCATCACCTTGCACTTGGCCACATTGAACCCCATTTGCCATGTTGACGCCCACTCGCCCATCCTTGACAGATCCCCTTGGAGTGCCTCACAATCCTCACTGGTTTTCACCACCCTGAACAACTTTGTATCATCCGCAAATTTAGCCACTTCACTGCTTACTCCCATCTCCAAATCATTAATGAACAAGTTAAAAAGCAGTGGACCAAGTACTGATCCCTGCGGTACCCCACTGCTTACCACCCTCCACTGAGAAAATTGCCCACCTACACTCACTCTCTGTTTTCTATGAACTAGCCAGTTTTTGATCCATAAAAGGACTTGTCCTTCTATCCCATGATTTTTGAGCTTACTTAGGAGCCTTTGATGAGGAACTTTATCAAAAGCTTTCTGGAAGTCAAGGTAAATAATATCTATTGGATCCCCCTTGTCCACATGTTTGTTCACCCCCTCAAAGAACACTAACAGGTTAGTGAGACAAGATCTTCCCTTACAGAAACCGTGCTGAGTCTGCCTCAATAGGTTTTGTTCATCTATGTGCCTACTAATTCTTTCCTTAATAATGGTTTCCACCAATTTACCCGGTATCGACGTCAGACTGACTGGCCTGTAATTTCCCGGATCTCCTCTGGAACCCTTTTTAAAGATGGGAGTGACATTAGCTACCTTCCAATCCTCAGGAATGGAGGCAGATTTTAAGGAAAGATTACATATCTTTGTCAGGAGATCTACAAGTTCACATTTGAGTTCTTTCAGAACTCTCGGATGTATGCCATCTGGGCCTGGTGATTTTTCAGTTTTTAAGTTGTCTATCAGTTTTAGGACCTCCTCTCTCGTCACCTCAATCTGACTCAGGTCTTTCAACACCCCTCCTGAAATCAGTGGTTCTGGAGTGGGCAAGCACTTCTCATCTTCCACAGTGAAGACGGAGGCAAAAAATGCATTTAGCTTCTCAGCCATTTCCCTATCATCCTTCAATACTCCTTTTACCCCTTGGTCGTCCAAGGGCCCCACTGCCTCCCTGGCTGGTTTCCTGTTTCTAATGTATTTGAAGAAAGTTTTATTGTTGGTTTTTACGTTTTTTGCTATATGCTCCTCATATTCCCTTTTTGCCTGCCTGACCTCAGACTTGCATTTTATTTGCCATAGCCTGTGTTCCGTTTTATCAGCCTCACTGTGACTAGCTTTCCACTGCTTAAAGGAATTCTTTTTACTTTTTACAGCCTCCATTACTCTGTTTGTTAACCATGCAGGCTTTTTCCTATACCTGTTTGTGCCTTTCCTAACCTGCGGAATATATATTTTTTGAGCTTCTAGGATCGTAGTTTTAAATAGATCCCAAGCTTCCCCAATTGTTTTGACCCTTTCTACTTTTCCTTTCAGTTTCCTCCCCACGTGTCCCCTCATATCAGAGAAATTACCCCTTTTAAAGTTAAAAATGGTTGTGTGAGTCTTTTTGGCCAATTCTCTATTTGTACAAATGATGAACTCAACAACATTATGATCACTGTTTCCAAGCGGTGCAATCACTTTTACATCTCTCACCAGGTCTTGAGTGTTACTTAGGACCAAATCAAGGATCGCCTCTCCCCTGGTAGGTTCCGTGACCATCTGCTCCATAGCACAGTCATTTAGAGTGTCTAGAAACTCAATCTCTTTTTCCCGGCTAGAACACATATTGACCCAATCAATGTGTGGGTAGTTAAAATCACCTATTATTACACAGTGTTTTTGTCTAGTTGCTATCTTTAAGGCATTCATCATTTTATAATCCTCCTCTATCTTTTGATCTGGTGGGCGATAACAAACTCCCAGTGTTAAGTTTCCTTTTGGCCCCCCTATTTCAACCCATAGAACTTCCAGAAGCGAATCCAATTCACTTAGCCTCTCAATCTTTCTAGACTTTATACCCTCTCTGACATACAGAGCTACCCCACCTCCAACCCTTCCCCCCCTATCCTTCCGATATAATATATAACCGGGAATCACTGTGTCCCACTGATTTTCCTCATCCCACCAAGTTTCAGAAATACCCACAATGTCTATTTTTCCCTCCCTCACCAAGCACTCCAACTCCCCGATTTTACCTCGGACACTTCTAGCATTTGTATAGAAACAGCTGTAATTTCCCTTACAAGTTAAGCCTGCATCCTTCCTCTTGCTATCTCGAGTCGTTGTCCGGCAGTCCATGTCACCAGCCATGGCCTCTGTGGACAATTTCAATCCACCTCCCTGTAGAAAAGCAACAGGTACCCCCTCATCTCTCTGAGATGAGCCAACCCGAACCAGAGACTTTTCATCTCCTGTCGGCTTTCCCCCAATATTCAGTTTAAAAGCTGCTCTGCCACCTTTTTGATTTTAAGCGCCAGCAGCCTGGTTCCTTCTTGGGACAAGTGGAGACCGTCTCGCCTGTACAGCTCCCTCTTGTTCCAAAAAGTATCCCAGTGCCTAACAAACCTGAACCCTTCCCCCCTACACCATCGTCTCATCCACGCATTGAGACTCCTGATCTCTGCCTGTCTCTCCGGCCCTGCGCGTGGAACAGGTAGCACTTCTGAGAAGGCTACCTTGGAGGTCCTGGACCTAAGTTTCCTGCCCAGCAGCCTAAATTTCTCCTCCAGGACCTCACGACTGCATTTCCCCACATCGTTGGTGCCGACATGCACCACGACCACTGGCTCCTCCCCAGCACTATCTACCAGCCTATCTAAAACACGCGTAATGTCCGCTACCTTCGCACCAGGCAGGCAAGTCACCATACGGTCAGTACGCGGGTTTGCCACCCAGCTGTCTACCTGCCTAAGGATCGAATCACCCACTACCAAGAGCCCCCCTCCCACCCTGCTCAGGGATGGTTGCAGAAGGTTTTCATCCTTCCATTTGGCTCAAAATCTGGTGCTTCTGAGCGGATAACCCCAAGGGTCCAGTGGCATATTACAAAGTCCTCGTGTCTGCTAGGGAACAATAGAAGGACCATCAGATTGCATGTGCAATGGGAGTTTTGTGTCTCCCAAACACACACCAGCTCTTTTCTGTTTGTGTGACTGCAGCCGGCAGGGAGACGGGCAATGCTCCCTCTAAGCTGTGGAGTCTTGTGAGCAAAAATTCTACTTTGTGAGCTCCTGGCATTAAAGTTGTGAGTGAGCCATTTGGCTGCTGCATAAATTAGTTTGCTCTGGAGCCCTCCTTCCTGAGCCAAGACAAAAATGTCTGAGCCGGAGGCTAAAAAACTGTGAGTTAGCTCACATAACTCAGCTTAGAGGGAACACTGGAGACAGGCATTTTAGCCCCTCCCCTCCGCATCCTCAAACAGCCCCAAGGGCGCCACTGTTTGCTCTTTGTAAAAATCACAGCTACTTACATGGCTACATGTAAGTTTCACAACGGAACCAAGAGCGGCTTTGCAGTGCGCAGACGGACCCTGTGTGTTCGCACCACATCTCTTTTTAGAGTGAATAACTGTTCGGTTCTTCCATGGATTTTGTTCCCTCCCAGATGCTTCCTTAATTTTCTATAAGTTACAACAGCCCGGTTTCCAAAGTTCTTTTTGATAAAGAAGATGCCGCTGAGGTTCCCTGCTGTCTGAAAACTCTGCCCTGGCCCCCTCCCCAGCTGTCCCTTATGCTTAAAGACACCATTTGCCCACTTATAGCAGGAGGCCTCCGGGTAGTTAAGCCCTCCCTTCTGCCCTTACTCCTCTGAGCTGCGGGAGAAAAGGCCCAGCCCAAAAATGATGCCCGGTGATCTGTGGCATCCAGGGCTATTTTTGGGCAGGAACGCACAGGAACGGAGGAGTTCCGTCTGGCTCCCAAGTTGGCCACGCCCAGCAGGAACTCATTAGCACAATAGGCCACACCCAACAGCAGAAACTCATTAGGATTGGCTACATTAGGGGTGTGTGGCCTAACATGCAAAGGAGTTCCTGCTACAAAAAAAGCCCTGGGTTTTGACCACAAACAAGGTCAACAGAATAAGAAGCAGAAGGTGGGCGTGGCTGGATGACCACACTTCTGGTAACATGGGTGTGTGGCCTAATGTGTTAATGAGCTGTGCTGTCAGGGCTGTGGCCTAATATGCTAATGAGTTTCTGCTGTTGGGTGTGGCCTATTATGCTAATTAGTTCCTGCTGGGCTTTTTCAACAAAAAAAGCCCTGGTGGCATCCCATCTGCCTAAAAACCTGGATGTGACATCAACACGTTGGGTGACACTCTGGCCATCCCCCAAACCTCCATGGTAAGTACCAAGCAGTCCGGCATCCTTAGGCCTACCCTGGCCTTCTGGAACTGCGGGCTGTCTTTATTTCTCACTCTTTATTTATTTCTCACTCAAAAAGCTCACACACTTTTTGCCTGCCTCCTTTGTTCTGAGCTGTCACGGAGTAACTGCATTTTGCATACATCACTGCCCCCCCACAAATTTTCCCCTGTCCCCCCCCCTCTTCTGCAAGCTCTTCAGGACAAGGACCTCCCTCGCTAAGGGTGATTCTGCATCTAGCATTTGCTCCACATTTTCTCAACTGGGAGGATAAGGTGCAGCTCAAAACCACATCCGAAGACCTGGGGGCAGCGCCCGTGCTGACTGCAAAGTCCCCCCTGAACGGCCATAAATCTATGCAGAATGTACCATAAAACCTGATGATAAAAGAAAGTGAAAGTGGCATGCAGTGTGGAGGGTACCATAAAATCCAGTGATCAAAGGAAGGGAAAACGGCATGCAAGACAGAAGGGAATTTCTGTTCCAATGTGGGTTTCATAAAACAACGGAGGGAAAAGCCAGTGCAGAATCACCTTATATCTACTTTTGCTTATGGTGGGCCATGCCACATCTATCGCTAGTTAGCTAGTCAGGAGGAAAAAACCATTTCTGTTCCAATGTGGGTTTCGTAAAACAACTGAGGGAAAAGCCAGTGCAGAATCACCCTCTATCTACTTTTTATTATGGTGGGCCATGCCACATCTTTCGCTAGTTAGCTAGTCAGGAGAAAAAAACCACTCACACTGGCATGTCCCGGAAGCAGTTAATGCACAGCATGGATTTTTTCTCCGTGGAGAACATGATGTAGAGCTCTTCATGAAGTGCTGGAAGAGATAGAAATCAATCATCCATAGTGCAGGGAAAGGGTGACTTTTGTGCTCTTTGAATTTATTAAAAATGTTGCTTTAAGTGCTCTTGAGTTGGCACTTCTACTTAAGAACACCAATACAGTTTTGTTGGGTCACCCCAAGACCCACTATCTTTGTGAGAATCCCACCAGCCCACAGATGCTAGGTGGTCTGTGGGAAATTTGGCCAGTGGACCACCAGTAGCTCATGGAGGATGCTTTTGGTCCCTCCCTGTCCTTAAGGATGGAGAGTATACAGCAAAGTGACAAGTTCTGCTTATAGCAGAGGAGGAATGTGTGGGGATCACATACGGCATTTCTTGTGGATGTCTTTAGTGCGCTTGGTCAGGGAGACAATCTCATGGCGGGAGAACATCTTGGCTTTATGGGTATCCTCACGGCATTTGGCACAGAGGGGCTGGTTGCAGGTATTGCAGAAGTACATGGTGTCCAAGTCCTAAGACAGGGGGTTAGAAAGCAAAACTCATTGGCTGGGCTGAATGCATTGGCAGGACACTTTCTCCAAAGGGCAACTAGAATAAACAGGTAGGTGAGCTAAGTGGATATTGGATGTCATGCACTACACTGATACTTTTCAAAAAGCATTAAATTATGCAATGCTCCTGTTTGGGACGTGTTTGTAAGGTGGTCAGCAAAACTATCAGCTCGCCCAGAGGCTTAGTGTGGGCAACAGGCCAGGCAGACTGACATGTGGCTTCTCACTGTCTTGTGTCTACAGCTTATCTCAGTACAAGTTCGCTTCATACTTAAGACAAGGTCGTTTTCTTTTCCAGCTAGAGCCCAAAAGTCCACCCATAACACACCTTGCCTTTAAAGAAGGTGAACTTCTCCTTAAAGCTGGAAAATGTCCTGATTTTCAAAAAGGCATCAGTGACAGGTGCTGTCCCCCCAAAGTGGGAGTTCTCTCTGCTCACTAAAGATTCAGGGTGGATTTTTTTCCCAAGACTAATATTACCCTTACACCTTGGACTGAGACTGTGGAGAGAGGGGGCTTTAGACCCCCTCTCTGCACTGTTTTCCAAATCTGCAATGAGCTGGGGGACTCTATCTGCCCTGTTGGGGAAATGGGGAGCCCTCAATGGAGCAATTTTAAAAAAATATTTTATTTCATTTATACCCTGTCTTTGTCCCCAGTGGGGGGGACTGCAAATAGCTTACACCCTTCTCCTCCATGTTATTCTCACAACAGCCCTGTGAGGTAAGTTGGGCTGAGGAAGTGTGACTAGCCCAAGGCTATCCAGCAAGTTTCCGTGGCAGAGCAGGGAATCAAACCTGGGGTCTCCCAGATCCTACTCAGACACTACACCACACTGGTTCACAGCACAGCCCAGTGCTGTAATTTGTTGGGAAAATAGTACTGTGGGGAGGCTTAAACCCCTTTCTTCCCCCCCCCCCATGTTCCACAGTGCCATTTGAAATCGGGGCCCTGCATGCCTGGGAATTCCCTGCAGGGGTCTGGACTTTCTATCGAATGTGTCCCTGCGAGTTCCTGTGGTGGGCCACCTGGATATGACGTGAGGACTGTCTGTGTTATGCTTAGTTAGGCCTTCATAAGCTTCCTGCTGCCCCAGCGGGGCTTTGAGCCTGGGTCTCCTGCAACGAAACCCAGGCCAGCTCTGAGCTTGCCGCACCGGAGCCTGGGAAAAGAGCTACGCGGCTACCTGCTTCTTGCACTGAAGGTCGCAATTTGCACACTGCGCTTCCTCCTCGCAGTCCCCAGAGCTGTCCACCACCAGGAACTTGAGGAGCCGGTCCTCGGGGGGCAGGCCGCTCCCTTTCACGATGGACTGGTGCCTGTGACAGGAAAAGGCAAGCTAGAGATGGCACCTGGGCCTTCATGCATGCATGCAAGCAAAAGGAAAAGACAGAAAGACCCAAAATTCCCAGCCTAGGTATGTCTCCTTGGAAGTAAATTCTACTTTGCTACATGGAGCCAATCACTCAGGTGACCACACTGCAGCCACTGGATCTGTGCAATGCACCTTCCAAGTGCCAATGGGGACTCCTCAGTCATTACAGGTGTTAACTCTTTCTCTCTCTCTCTTGGTCAATACCTCTCATGTCAAGTCTGACTTATGGTGACTCCTGGCGGGGTTTTCGTGGCAAGAGACATTCAGAGGTGGTTTGCCATTGCCTGCCTCTGCGTAGCGACCCTGGTATTCCTTGGCAGCCTCCCTTCCAATTAATGACCAAAGCCGACCCTGCTTAGCTTTCAAGATCTGATGAGATCAAGCTAGTCTGGGCTATGCGGGCCAGGGCACAGGTGTCAACTAGTGCTGCAGAAACTAGAGGAATGAGCCGTGGCTGCTCTTCTGAATGGTCTCTTGTGCCTTACTTTGAAGTGTGCATCGTGACCTCGCACTCGGGCCTTTCGTAGCCCACTCGACCCTGCCCTGCCGTTTATTTTTTTCCAGCACTTCAGATATAAATATCTGCACAGCGAGGGCTCACTGCAGGGAGGGATGGGCAACCGATGGGCAACAGGGGCAGCTTTCTCAGGCCCCATGCTTGGGGGCCTAGCTGCCCACTGCTCTACTTTCTCAAAGGAAGGGAAGAAAGAAGAAGAGGGAGCTCTTGCTGCTGCTTCCCCCTGGGCCATCTGGGGCTTGGGCAGATGGCTTCCAGCAGCAGCAGCAGCAGTGGGTGCCGCTCACCTCGCATGGGGCGAGGGCCACTCCTTGTTGGGTCCTAGAAGGGGTGGTGTTGGCCCCAGAATCACTACGGCAGTGCCTGATTGCGTGCATCTGACAAAGCCGACTCTGGTCTAGCAAACCTGATGCAACAGACTTGCTTCCGCGTCAGGCTGTCAGTCCGTCTTCCTGCTGCGGCTCTCACAGGGCCCCAGGAGAAGGCTTTAAGGTGCCACATGCCACCCGTTTAAGGAGCTGCGGTGGCTCAAGGGGTTAAGACGCTGAACTGCAGGCTGTGGAAGGTCGTGCCGCATGACGGAGTGAGCTCCCGTCTCTCGTTCCAGCTCCTGCCAACCTAGCCGTTCGAAAGCAAGAAATTGCAAGTAGATGAATAGGGACCACTTCAGTGGGAAGGTAACAGCGTTCCGTGCGCCTTGGTGTTTAGTCAGGCCGGCCACATGACCACGGAAACGTCTTCGTACAGCGCCGGCTCTTCGGCTTTGAAACGGAGATGAGCACCGCAACCCTAGAGTCGGACTCGACTGGCTTTCGAGCAAGGGAACCTTTACCTTTTAAGCCACCTGTTTAATTTTTTTACCGCAACAGATTGAAATGACTGTGTGCATGTGTGCTAAGTCCCTTCAAATAGCTTCCGACCCATGGCAACCCTATGAATTAACGTCCTCCAGAACGTCCCGTCCTCCACAGCCTTGCTCAGGTCTTGCAACCGGAGGGCCCGTGGCTTCCTAGATGGAGGAGTCCATCCCTCTCACGTCCGGTCTTCCTCTTTTCCTGCTACCTTCAACTATTTCCTGGCATCATTGTCTTTTCCAGTCATTCTTCTCTTCTCATCATGTGACCAAAGTGGGATAGCCTCAGTTTAGTCATGTTAACTTCTAGGGTGAGTTCAGGCTTGATTTGATTTAAAGGTAAAAGGTAAAGGTTCCCTTGCTCGAAAGCCAGTCGAATCCGACTCTAGGGTTGCGGTGCTCATCTCCGTTTCAAAGGCAAAGAGCCAGCGCTGTCCGAAGACGTTTCCGTGGTCATGTGGCCGGCATGACTAAACACCAAGGCGCACAGAACACTGTTCCCTTCCCACCGAAGTGGTACCTATTTATCCACTTGCAATTTCTTGCTTTCGAACTGCTAGGTTGGCAGGAGCTGGAACTAGAGATGGGAGCTCACTCCGTCATGCGGCACCCGGGTCTCAAACTGCTGAACTACTGACCTTCCACAGCCTGCAGTTCAGCGTCTTAACCACTTGAGCCACCGCAGCTCCTTGATTTGATTTAGAACCCCACTTATTTGTCTTTTTGGCGGTCTGTGGTCCCCGTAAACCTCTCCTCCGACACCAGTGACTGCTTCTCTGACATTCCTATTGGGAATAACCATGCTTTAAAAGGTTCACATAGCTGAGCCAGGATGCTTTTCCTCTGAATTAAAAAACTAGAGACACACACTTTATTGAATGACAAGAAGGTTTGGTTTAGTGCGTGGGAGAAGCATAAGCTGTTCTGCTGTGGTTTTGTGTTGTTTTTTTTAAGAAAAAGATCAGCCGGAGATATATCACTATAACACTATAGAGATACATTTAGCAATTTTTTAAAAAACCCCGTCAAAGTTCTTTGGCAGCAAGGGAAGGGGGGAAATGGTGGATGCAACAAACTAAAGGATGAAGAATTTCACAAGGGGGATGCTCTGTTGCACAGGCATTTGTCATAGCAGCAAGCAGGGTTGCCAGGTGGGCGATGGAGGGACTTACCAGGAGAAAGAGGAAGGCCCAGGCCACGTTGCCAGCACTGCACAGGAAGTGACGTCATCACGAAACAGGTTCTACCATAGAGGGTTTGCCCAAATACCAGAGTGTCACCCAGACATCGCTGGTGTGATGACATCACTTTCTGTGTGGTGCCAGCAACATGGTCTGGGCTTTCCTCTTTCTCCTGGTAAGTCCCCCCACTGGCCAGCTGATTGGTGGTGGGTGGGAGGCATGGCCTGGGGTCAGGGGACCCCTGCCTCCACCAGGAGGTCTGGCAACCCCATCAACAAGTCCACATTGGGAAAACGTCCCTATGTTGAAACCAAACCATGTGCAATTTTTCTGCTGTTTCTCACGAGCGGGACATAAAGTGGCTTACGCTGTTCTTTACATCAATTTTATCATTACAACAACCCTGCAAGGTAGGTTAGGCAGAGAGAGAGATAGAGAGAAAGAGAGAGACTGGCCCAAGGTCACCCAGCTGTTGGGTATTACAAGTTGAAAACACTCAGTATATCTGGGGTTAAATGTTTGTTTATGTTACTCACAGGAAGTCACATGTTTCTCATGTAACCAATGTTCTTTAGATGTAGGAAGCCCGGGAATTTTCTCCCTGATCTAGGGATTTGATTGGGACTAAAGTGTCGAGGTGTATTACCATTTTATGGCTTCTCTTCTCGTCTTTGTTTTGGTGTTCTGAAGAACAAGAAGAGTAGCCATACTCTCTCTCTTCTAGTTTTGTCTTTGTAGAGTAAGGATGTAGCCGATTTAGCTCTGTTGTTATTTTCATCCCAGTTACCCTTCCCCATGCTAGAATTTAGTAAAAACTTTATGCTTTAATCACACATGGACTCTGAGTCTGAATTATTTTACTCTGGCTCTGCTGGACTATCTTATCTCTGCTAAATACCATTTTTTCAATATCTCACTATCACCCAACAGGAACAAATCGCAGTATGATTGCCGTGTGACCACAGCCATAGCCCCTTCCCAAAGGCACAGGAAGCTGCCTTATACTGAATCAGGCCTTCAGTCCATCAGAGTCAGTATTGTCTACTCAGACTGTCAGTGGCTTTTCCAGGGTCTCAGGCAGAGGCCTGTCACATCACCTGCTACCTGGTCTCTTTAACTGGAGATGCCGGGGACTGAACCTGGGACCTTCTGCATGCCAAGCACAGGCTCTACCACTGAGCCACAGCCGCCACCCCCATTGGCTAGTCAATTATTCTATCTTAAGAGTCCTAGAAAACATCTCTAAACTTTCCGAAACGGGAGCCAGGTTCCCTTTCCACAGTCTTCTCCGTAGTGTCATTCACACCAGTAAAAAATAAATAAAAATGCATGGTTATTAATTAAACTTGCTTCCACCGCCAGCAACCATGGATCTTGTGTCATGTAAAAGATGACTGCGATGGAACGAAGTCATTTATCTTACGGAATACAACTAAAAAATTTTTCCCCTCCAGTCATAGTTGACTTATGGCGACTCCGAAGGGTTTTCAAGGTAAGAGACGTTCAGGGGTGGTTTCTGCCCATTGCCTGCCTCTGCATAGCAACTCTGGACATCCTTGGTGGTCTCCCATCCGAGTACTCACCAGGGCCGACCCTGCTTAGCTTCAAAGATCTAATGAAATCAGGCTAGGTCAGAGAACAATAATTGCGTCCCATCAAGTTGCAGCTGTCTCCTGGTAACCCCAGGACTGTGGGTTTGTCAAGGCAAGAGACATTCGGAGGTGGTTTGCCATGGCCTGCCTCTGCGTAGCAAACCTGGACCTCCTTGGTTTGGTGTAGTGGTTAAGTGAGTGGACTCTAATCTGGGAGAACTGGGTTTGATTCCCCACTCCTCCACCTCCACCTGGCTGGATGGCCTTGGGCAAGCCGTAGCTCTGAAAAGAGCTGTCCTTGAAAAAGAGCAGTTTCCGTCAGAGCTCTCTCGGCCCCACCTACCTCACAGGGTGTCTGTTGTGGGGAGGGGAAGGGAAAGGAGTTTGTAAACCGCTCTGAGACACCTTTGGATAGTGAAGGACTGGGTATAAATCCAATCTCCTCCTCCTCCTCCTCTTCTTCTTCTTCTTTTTGGTGGTCCCCCAACCATGTCAAATTGCAATCAACTTATGGAGACTCCATGGGGTTTCCAAGACAAGAGACGAACAGAGGCCCCGGTCACACGGGCCAGATAATGCGGTGGGGAGGCATGGCTCTTTGCGCCGGCGCAATTAGACCTGCCAGAACGCGATCAGATGCAATGGCGGCAAGTGTGCATCAAGGAGGACAGCCAGGGAAAAGCTGCGCGCTGGCACGATCGCATGGAACGATTCCATCGGCAGCCCGTGGCAAACCATTTGCTAGTACATTTGTTGAGATGCTTTTTAACTGCGCAGCTTCGGCGGCACGCCACGGGTGCG